CTCCCATCTTCCTCCCATCCCCCCTCCCATCCTCCCTCCTTCCCTCCTCCCTTTCTTCCTCTTTCTCTCCAGGTCTTTCCTAATGTTGCCTGCTCAGTAAGATCACCCACCTTGAACTTCCAGTGGCTAGCTTCCAACACGAACCCTTTTCTTTGTCCCTTCCTTCCTTAGCCCTCTTCTCTGTGGTTGGGTCTGTGACCCCCACATGAGACGAACAGCCCTCCAAAGTGGCCCGTTTGACTCCTGCTACATCCTCAGAGGCCACAAGATGATCTGCCTGGGATATTTGCTGAACTGTTGACTGAATGAATAGGTGGCTAATGTATTTTAGTTGAATATGTTGCTTTTTTTCACCTCTTAAAAACAAAACAAACTTGATGCCCATTCTTAACTCAGGAGGGGATTAAAGAAGAAAGGTGCAGAAGCCTCACTGGTCTGCGTCCTCTGTGTAACAGATCATGTGACCTTGTCGCTTCTGCCATGCAGGAGATCAATCATATATACCGTGGCATATGTACATTTCTCAATGTTAAGGACATTTCCTATATTGTCACCGTGTTTTCTCACGCCTATTTGAATGAATTTGTTACTTGCTATAATACTGCCCGTGGTCACATTACCAGATGATTCTGGTCTCCAGCTAGTTTATCCCAGCCAGACTCCGATAAAAATCCATTAACTGCGTTTCACTAGGTCCTTCTGCTTGTTTTCTGAGACATGGCCTTGCTATGTAGCCCCAGTCGCCCCCAAATTCTCCCTCAGCTCTTGAGTGCTAGGGCTACAGATGTGCACATGCACTTCCTGGGCTACAGATGTGCACATGCGCTTCCTGGGCTACAGATGTGCACATGCGCTTCCTGGGCTACAGATGTGCACATGCGCTTCCTGTCCCAGCCACTCTCACTCCTTGCGTTCCCCAAACTTATGTTCTCCAGATCTTTCCACACTGTAGCAGTGTGACATTTTCCCCAGGATTCCTGCCCCATGGTCCTATCATGGGTCTCACTGTCTGAATTTCTTCTGCTATTGTTAGTTTTCTTTCTCTCCTTGCTGTTTCCTATAACCTGGAAGTGAGTTCTGAAGGCCGGCGGACTGCGATTGGTTAAATGGAATTCTATGCTGTCAGCTGTTTCTTTGGAGCATGGGGAATCTTGGGACAAAGTCCTAGTATTAATGGAGAAGGGACACTTTTTAAATTTTGTTTTGAAAGTTCTGACATTTATGTGAGGATGTCCTAAACCCTGGCTCTAAGGCCTGGAGAGATGGCACAGTGGTTAGGAGGACTTGCCGTTCTTGCAGAAGACCTGGTTTTGGTTCCCATCACTCAGTGGTGGCTCAGAAATATCTGTAACTCCAGTTCCAGGGGGCTCTGATGCCCTCTTCTGGCCGCCACAGCCACTGTAAACACGTGATGTACAAACATACATATGGGCAAACACTCCTTCACATAAGATAAAAATGATAAGTAAAATCCTTCCTACATCTGTTTTGTTCGGGCCTCTTTGAAGAGATCTACACAGTTCTTGATAAGCCAACTTAGAGTAAGGCTTCTGGCCTTCGGTCATGGTGGGCCTCCTCTAAGCTTCGGAACTGCTGGAGACTCTGGGTCAAGCAATGTCTCTTCTGTTTTCACAGTTAGGATGAAATAAAGAGCTTGGAGTGACACATTGTTTGTCCTGTGGGGACATTGTCTTCCCTTTGGCTGGTGACGATGTCCAACTGTCTTTACACAAGGGCATTGTACCCCAGAGACCAAGATTATGTACTTGTACAAGGGGTGCTTTTAGTTTGGAGACTTCTTGGAGTTTGTTTTCAGGAAGGATAATGAATTCTCATGTGAGGCAAAAGTATAAAGATGTAAGCCAGACAGTGGCTACGCACACACGCTTTTAATCCCAGCACTGGGGAGGCAGAGGCAGGCGGATCTCTGTGAGTTCAAGGCCAGCCTGGTCTACAGAGGGAGTTCCAGGACAGGCTCCAAAACTACAGAGAAACCCTGTCTCGAAAAACCAAACAAAAGCAGGAGATACAAAAAAGAGAGACAGGCAGGGCTCACCACCCCCCCCCCCCCGCCAGATTTATATGTAAACATTAGCCCGAGGCGAACACGCCCCCCCCATTGGGTGGGGTTTCCCCTACATCTTCCCTTTTTGTCTAAATAAGACAGAACTAAACCAAATACAACTATACACAATAGTAACAAATAAATATAACAATCAATATTGAGCAAGAAACATATAACAAAAGTTTTGCTAAACATTCTATCTCAAGGAGTCTAAATAAGGTAGAGAGTAACTACAATTATATAATCTTCAACTCCGTCAAAGATCTGAGAAGGGAATAAATATTACTTAACAAACGAGAGATATCCAAAATGTGCAACAAATGGCAGAGACAACTGACTACCTGGGCAATCACCCAAAGTCTTGTTTGCAATGTTGAGTCAACCAACTTTGGCTAAGGCCTAACATAACTGACATATTATTTTTAAAGGCAAGGAACTTTCTTAGAACTATCCTACCCTGTCTTGGCAAGATAAGACAATCCTGTTTTATCCACATATGGATATTTTATATCTTTGTCAGTAGTTGAGGTATGGGCTTTTCTTAACCCAAAGGCCAGTCTGCCAAGAAGACAAGCTCCCAGTGGAGTGTCTTTGGTGCTCAACGTTCTCTCGGGAGTAGAGTGGTGTCGCCAGGAGTGATTGTGTCTCGTTGGCATAGAATTCTATGTTAGATTAAAGGCCATTTTCTACAGCTCTTTGAAGAGGCTGAAGATTATATTATCTATACCAAATATAATCTCTATGTATCTAGAAGACCTGATTAACCTAAAAATAAATATGACAAACATATAATTCTCAATACCTATCTAACTTGAAGAGTAAGAGAATAAACAACTGTGCAATATATGAAGACAATGATTTCAACTGTAAACAATGTCATTACATATCAAATGTGAACAGTATTATTATATAAATAATATCAGAGGTAGAAATGTACATTGTAATATGGTAAATGTATCAATACAATATAGACAAAGTTATAAGCATACTCTTATACAAAAGAACTAAAAAACAGCGGGGTGTCTGGTAGCTGGGCCTGGAGCGTGCTGTGTTTTTAGGACCCAGGCAGAGGGCTACCAGATTGGGGCATGTAGCTCTCTCAAACTAAAATTCAAGCCTATGTCCCGAGCTGCTCGGGGCGGGGGCAGGGCAAAAAAGCCCAATGTTGGCGCCAGAATGTAGGCGGCATAATAACCAGGCTAGCTTAATATGAAACAGCAAATTTTAATGAAGAAATAGCTTACAACACCGGGGATCCAGTGATGAGCAGGAGATACAAAAAAGAGAGACTGGCAGGGCTATGGCTGCCAGATTTATATGTAAACATTAGCCCGAGGCGAACACGCCCCCCATTGGGCTGAGTTTCCCCTACAGGAGGTAAAGAATTTAAATGTGTGTGTGTGTGTGTGTGTGTGCATGTATGAATGTGTGTGTGTGTGGTGTGTATGCGTTTATGTGTGTGGTATATATGCATGTATGTGTGTAGTGTGTATGTGTATATGTATGTGGTGTGTCTGCATGTATGTGTGTAGTGTGTATGTGTGTATGTATATGTGTGTGTGTGTGGTGGGTCTCTCACCGAGTGTAGGCCTCTTTGCTGGTGAGAGGGGACTCCGCAGAGCCCATGGAGATTCCACGGCTGTCAGACAGCAAGCAGCCCATGAACGTGGCTACTTTAGCTTTTATTACAGGCTGACCGACTTTCATAGTAACTAACTCACTCAGTAACCCAGCAATCCACTAATGGATTAATCCATCTGAGAGGCAGAGCCCCCTTCACTCGGTCATAGCTCAGAAGTCTCATCCCCAAATGCCATTAACATGTGAATTTGGGGATAAAGTTTCTAATGTATGGATTCGGGGAGACGGTTCAAACCACGGTGCTCAGACTAGTAGACTGTGTGGATTCAGGTGTTCAGAATATGTTAATCTGGCTCCTTAGTTTATGAGATAGGAAGTTCCTAAATTACTCAGATGACATCTTTAGTAAGCTGCTGTCATTGGATTAAACTTTAAATCACAACCTCTTTCCCCCCTTTTCATGACTTAGGAAATCCGGGATCCGTTCATGCAGTGGCTTGAGAGGCGTGTGGATCCTGGAGGAATCATCAAGTCCAGCAAGCTCGCCCTGAGGTTCATTTCCTCTCACACGTCTGAAGTGGAAGTCTCCCCGTCTTCCCTGCCTGTAGTTACCGACCCCGAAGCCTTTTCATCAGAGCACTTTGACCTAGAGACGTATCGCCAGAATCTGCAGACCACATGGCTAGGAAAAGTAATTCTGTTTGCAGAGGTGACCACCACAACCATGAGTCTCCTGGACGGGTGAGTTCAAGTCAGATGCTCGGCCTAGCCAAAGTGTCCACTGATGTCTGTGCTCTGTCCCCAATGCCAGAGGAGAGGGACAGATGCACCCATCTTCTGAGCACAGTCGGCAGACTCTGTCCTGCTCCCCGAGGGTTTGAGTCTTAGAGGAGGACTTCGATCAGAGTCCATGTGTTATGTGTAGCTTTGGTGGCTGTCATTGTGCTTCCTTTAATCAGTCATTTCGAAATATCCTCGGGGGACACTTTGAAAAATAGTGAACAGGTGGCCGTGGTCAGGTGGCCACTTCCCTTTGTGCTGTGATGATCAGTGATGCATGTTTAATCTAGGATGTTCCGTGGGTGTTAGAGAGTGAAGTTGGAGACAGAGCGGGATTAGAGGGAACAAGTGGGGACGTGTGTTTTGAAAACTGATGTTTCCTTCCTAGTAATTTCCCAAGTTCACTTTCATCTCATGTCTGAAATTTATTCTCGCTGTGAGCTTCCATTTTTACTTCTGTTCCTCTGTTTGAAGTTAAAACATGGAAAACAGATGAAAGGGATTTTTCTAAATGCCACATATTGTCCGTACTAATCAATACGCCTTTAGTTTAAGACGTTGGGTAGAAAACAGAGAAACTCAGAAAAGTGTCTTCCCTGTGACTGGAACCAAAATTGAAAACTACAGACGCCAGGAATCCCTGGGTTAGAGTTTTTAGGGGTTACCTGTAGGAATTACTACAGAGACATGTAATTCAATGTACAGAAATGTTGTTGCTTTTGTTCAGATAGTAAGTATCTGGAGTGCAGTTAACTGGCTGTATGTTGGTACAAAGTAATGGAGTGTTCCTGGCTCTCACACGGCTGGCGGAGGGCAGTTGTAGCGTGTGACGTATGTAGGGGACCAGCAGAAGATGGCAGAGCAGGGGCACTGCTGTGGATGAGCTGGAACACATGTTAATTAGTGGCTTTTGCTTAATGACTTAATCTGTGTTGCTGTAGTTACTTTTTTTTTTTTCAGTTTATTTTCCCCAGAGAGAAAAGTATTTCTGCTTTCCTCAAGCAGTGAGAAGCCCTTCTCTGTCTTCTAGTCTGGTCTGTGCCAAGCACAGGCAATTGGATGGCTCTGGTTTTTGTTGGTCCCTCTGCCAGGCAGGTTTTGATTGACAGTTGTCCTTCACCACTGTTCGCATGGACTCCTTCCCAGCACTCCCAGAGAAAGTCAGAAGCTCCCAGAGGTGTGGCTGTTTTAGGAGGCAGCATCTGAACAGGTCTTCCTAGAGCCAGCAGGACCCAGAGTCACTCACGGGCTTCAAGTGACAGAGTGGGAAAGCCACACTTTCCCACTGTATTCCAAGAATGCAGCCAGAAGGGTTTCTGATGCTGGCGCGGTGGGCACAGGTAGCATCCCACCCAAGGCAGCCTGCAGAAGGAGGAGGTTATTGGGGCTTCGGATCCAGAGGACTAGTAGTCTGTCACCATCACCACAGGGACATGGTGGCAGGCAGGCCTGTGTCCAGACAGCTGAGAGCTCACATCTCAAACAGAAAGCCAGAAGCAGGGTGTCAACTGGGGGTGTCATGTGGCTGTGAACCCTCAAAGCCTGCCCCCCAGTGACTTCCTTCTTCCATCAAGGCCATGCCTCCTAGGCATTCCCAAGCAAAGCCACCAACTGGGGACCAAGTGTTCAAAGGCTGGAGACTATGGGAGACATTCATTTGAACCACCGCGGATCCTTATCACACATCTCCTGGACACACAGGTGGTGCTCAGCTAGTGAATCAGACACTTCCCTTTCTAGACATTTCTCTACCCTGTGTCCATGGTTCCTGCAATGCCATTCGTCATCTCTTGATGAGCCGTATCGCCCAGTCATGGTGCACAGCATGCTGGATGCCAGGGATGGGACAGACAAAGCAGGCTGGGGTGCGGTCCATGTGGACTCTTACTGGAAGTTACCCTTGGCCTCTGTGTTCCTATCTCATGGCTAGGTCTCGCCACATCAAAGACATAAAGCAAGGAAACAAATGTGGTCTTCGTGTGTGTGGAGGCCAGAGGCCGATGCCTCCTCAGCTGCTCTTCCCCGTATCACCTAACACGGAGCTTACTAATTTGACTGGGTTGGCTGGCCGTCAGATCTCAGGGTCCACCTGTCTGCACCCCTCCCCAACACTGCATCACAAGTGTACGCTGCCACACCCAGCTTCTTCCTGTTGGTCCTGTAGAGCCAAACTCAGGGCCTTCTGTTTGTGTGACACACACTTCACCACCTGAGCCATCTCCTCCCCTATGAGGTGTCTGAAGTTGAAGGCCAGGCTTCATTTCTCAAAAGGTGAGACGGCTGGACGTCTTCATGGAAGTGTTTCATTCTGTTAAGAGAGTAGCTGGGGCCAGGCAGTGGTGGCGCATGCCTTTAATCCCAGCACCTGGGAGGCAGAGGCAGGCGGATCTCTGTGAGTTCGAGGCCAGCCTGGTCTACAAGAGCTAGTTCCAGGACAGGAACCAAAAAGCTGCGGAGAAACCCTGTCTCGAAAATCCAAAAAAAGAGAGAGAGAGAGAGAGAGAGAGAGAGAGAGAGAGAGAGAGAGAGAGAGAGAGAGAGAGAGAGAGAGAGAGAGAGAGAGAGAGAGAAGCTGGGGAACCTGTGCTGCGAATATGCCATAGCCCAGAGTCCATGGGATTTAAAGTCACGGTGGAGAGCGGAGACAGTTCCTCTTCGGGAACGCTGGCTTTGCTTTGTTGTTTTCTGTTGTTAATCAGGAGATCTGGGGATCCTCATCTGACAAAAAGGCTTCGGCATTCGTGCTAATTATGACTTTCAGCACAAACCCCACTTAGCCATCTTCTGTGGCAGGAGATGCTGGAGGTCTCATTTGGTCCCTGGGTGTGACACTGGGTTCAACTGAGGTTAGGAAGCCCTTTCACCTTCCCCCAGTCCTGTGATTCTAGGAGCAGGAGCAATAGAAATTTGGGGGTTATTTGCTCATTAAAAGGGCGTGTCTCTCTCCTCCAAAAACAAAAAGTAAAAGCCTGATCAGTGAGTGATCCTTTCCTGGTCCTTAGATTGGGACATTCCATCCCGTTCCCGGGGTTGGACAGGCAATTTCAGCCCGTATCCCCTAGCCCAGTCACTTTCTCTGGCAGAGATATCATCCTGACCTTGAGCTCTACCTACTCTTCTGTAAGCAGAGAGTCTTCTGGACGCCTCAGTCTGTGCTGCTGGCTCTGTGGGAGGTCAGAGGCCTTTGTTTTTCTTTCTGTGCTGTTTCCATGTTGCGTTAGCTCAGCTGTTGGGTAGAGTCCCAAGAAATGGGCCCCAGGCTGTGTCTGGCCCAGCAAACCCCCGAGTGTTCTTGGTCACGTCCTACACCTGGACCAGGGAGCTGTCTGCATATGTGGTGCAGTGTGGTGTGGACAGGCCCAAGACTGTCACCGTCGCAGGAACAGCACCTCCAAGTGCTTGCTTCACTGGTATGTCTAGGGAGCCTGTGCAAGATGGGGGGCCAGCCTGCTTGGGAGGATGGCTGAGGCCAAGGAACCCTGGATCATGAGTCATTGTTAGTTTTGGAATTGTCTTTTCTTGGAGACTCAGTGTCTTTTCTTGATTGACTCATGCCAAGTCTCTGTCAGATACTGAAATGAACATATGTGAAGCCCCCGTGTGGGGAGCCAGACGGACACTGACTGTGCATACGTGTGCATGCCGAGTGGACTTGTTGAGGGCTGGATATTTTATATAAATTATTTTATGTGCTGTGGTGTTTTGTCTGCATAAGTGTCTGTGTGAGGATGCCAGATCCTTTGCAACTGGAGTTACAGACAGTTGTGAATCACCATGTGGGTCCTAGGAATTGAACCTGGGTCCTCTGGAAGAGCAGCCCCTGTTCCTAACTGCTGAGCCATCTCTCCAGCCCCAGGTTGGCTATTTTTTATTTGTAAAGAATAATTCTGATTCTCTTATTTAATGTTTAATTACCACTGTTTAAATCCCTGGATTTCTCAGGCGTGTTTGCCTATATCACTATATAGGATAAACTGTTTGTCACTTCTCTTGCCTCGGGACATGTCTCCAAAGTGCATTCTGGTGACAGCAGCTCAGGAGATGTGCTCCCATTTTTGGTCCGGAGGAAGGCACGACAGAGACAATGCGGGGTGTCAGGCAGAGACAGTGGTCAGTGGCCCTTTCTCATGTGGTCACTGCTTACTGAGTGTTGCTTCTGCCATTATAAGGCTTCCGGCCAGTGGGGAAATGATGGGCCCATGACAGGATATCCTCCAGCTAGCTCTGGGACACTGGCAGCATCTTCTCCTTCAGCCGCACTTTCTCAGCTGTGAGGACAGTTCTCAGCAGACCTGACGCTGGCACCTTCACCCCTTCATCTGACATAGAGGTGTCCCCGTGTCGGAGCTGCCACCGGCCATCCTGTTGTTCCCAGTGCCCACCAGGACTTTCAGAGGACAGAAGTTTGGTGTCACAAGGAGACAGTTGACTCTGCCCCTAGCAGGAGGGAAAGCAAAGGACAATTCCATGAGGGAGTCTTGAGAAACCACGTCTGGATGCCATGTATAGAAACTCATGTCTCTAATCCCTGCACTGAGGAGGCTGAGGCAGGAGGATAGCCATGAATTCAATGCTAGCCCAGGCTACATGGGTTCCAGGTCAGCCTGGGCTTCAAAGTGAGACCTCATTTCCTAATTTTATATGATTTTGTTTTGTGGGAGATCACACTAATGATGAGACTGGCCATAGCCATTTTGGAAAGAGTGTTTCGATCTTCAGAGTTTTGAGCTAGCCCAGCTCCTTGGCCATGCGCTTGCCCCTCTAGCCAGTCCTGACCCCTGCTCCCTTTCCCCTTCTGAATCTGCTCAGGAACTAGCTCCACTCTGTACCCCCTCCCATGAAGTCCAAGCTTGAGAGGACAAAAATTGGGCTGGAACTAATTTAATGGCTGAGTGACCTCACAGTGGAGAAACAGCCGGATCCTAATAGGGGGCTTTGTCTCCATTCCCACCCTGGCTGGT